GAGTAATGTGGATGGGAGGAGCATCTTTTGTTCATAATAAGCCCCTTTCAGCCATACTTGAGTGTATATTAATGAGGTGACTTTTGGTGGACCTCAAGATAGCTTCCTATTGGGGCTGGTTGCCAGGGGAACCAAGCATGTGCTTAGAGGGTTGGAACTTTCAGACCTACATCCTCCCACCCCCTAACCCCGTGCCACCCCTCTTTCCCTAGGCTGTAGATTGAATTCATCAACAGCAGTCAATGATTTAATTGATCATACCTACTAATGGAGCCTTCATAAAAACCCTAAACAATAGGGTTTTTATGTGGATGATGCAACCACATGCCAGGAGAGTAGCACACACCAAACTCCACAGGGACAATCTCCTGTGCTTGGAACCCTTCCAGACCTTGTGTTATATACCTCTTCATCTGACTGTTCATTTGTATTTTTTATAATATCTTTTATAATGAACCGGTAGAGTAAGTAAAGTGTTTCCCTGAGTTCTGGGATTTTGAGAAGGGGGTTATGGGAACCTTCAATTTGTAGGCAAGTTGAACAGAATTGATAACCTGGGGACCCACTGTTTGAGAGTGTTTGAAGTGGTCTTGGGGCAGTCTTGTGGGACTGAGCCCTTGTGGGGTCTGTACTAACTCCGGGCAGTTAGTGTCAGAATTGAATTGACTTATAGGACACCCAGTTGGTGTCCACAGAGAATTGCTTCATGTGGAAAACCCACACATTTGATGTCAGAAAGTGTTTAGAATGGAAAAAACAGTTTTTCTTTAATACATCAATCAAAACTTACCAAATGGTAGTTTCTTAAAAGTGATTTGAAATGTGGAATTGGACTATTTTATATTTTGAATGTATCTTTTAGCTTGCATTATTTGTAACATTATGTATTGGTCATTTTGAAAATATTGGTTTGTTGCATTATGTAGATTCCAAATGTTGACATATTTCATTCAGAACAAAAATTCATGTTTATTAATATCATTTCTAACTTAATCAGAAACGTCTGTAAGTATTGGGAAGCTGTAAAGCTCTCATAGTGGTGAATGTAAGTTTTCAAAACTTCTGGGTTTTACTAGAAAACTTGCTGGCAACAAATAGTGTTAATCGTTTTCCTCAAAAATAGGCTCACTTAGTAAAATTCCCAAGTCTGAATAGCTATAGTTTGTCAGTTGTCCTTTCAAGTAAAAATGATGTTCCATGAAAAATATGCTCATTCAACTCAAACAATTGCACAAGTGCTTTTACTCAGGATGATACCCATACTTCAGTATGTAACAGGAGTACTTTTTGCATACTTCCATATTGTTACATAGAATATTAAATTTGTTTTTTTGGTACTCAAGGGTTAAGATTTAATGTAATAGATAATTATACCACTTCATCAGGACAATTCTTTAGTGAAACTCCTCCCCCCATCATGAGTTCAAGGCAGAAGAATACAATGACTCCAGTAATTGTGCTAAGGCACCAGTAGTTTTACCTACCACTGCTTTGCACCATTAGTACAAATGTCCAGGATAAACCATGAGTTTCAAAAGGGCATTCAACACTTTGAATAGGTCAGTATAATTTGTTTATTCTCAAACATTCACATGAAAGAGGATCTTACTAGATGATTATTTGGTGCTGCTCCCAGATGACTACAAGCAAACCAGCAAGTCTAGCCACAGTCTATAGATTTATCTATTTGTAAGGCAAAAGTAGAATTCTGCAGAAGAGATGTTAACTCAATCTTCATGATGCATCTTGTTCTTTAAGTCAGCAAGTTGCTCTATCATTGGAAAGTGGCACTGCTGTGATTTCTTTTGCTGACTTTTGATCCAGCAGACATTCATCAGTGTTAATGGCAGAAGGTTTTATTAGTCCTTCAGGCAATTTTTTGTTGCATTGAGTGAATGAGAGTAAGAAGGGCAGTATCTTATTTATTATGATGAAGATAGTTTTGAATTTATGGACCCCCTGACAAGGTCTTGGGTCCTCAGATTGCAATATGAGAACTGCTTCAAGGTTGTAGCATGCATCTTTAGCTTATGTCTTCCTTCATATAATATTTTGTCTAGAATTTTTTACTAGATAGTGGACATTATGAATATTACATTATTCAGTGTCTAGATTATGTTTATTTCTTTAAAGAATATTGAGCTGTTCTGGCAGACTTAATTGTAGATAAGCTGATATCTTTGATACTGGAGTGGGTCTAGAGTAGATTTTACTTTGAATCTAGTTAATCCTGTTTTAAACCATGGCCTTTTCTGGGGTTTCTACTGAATGCACCATGTGTTTATTGAGTTCTCTCCACTCTGGCTGGTTGGAGCACAAATATATTATAGCCTGTGTGAACTCCAGTAATTTTTCAGCTTATAGCTCTCTCTTTTTTTTTTAAGATTTTATTGGGGAATTGGGGAAGGGAACAGTGTTGGGGAATTGGGGAAGGAGAACATTGTGTTTTTCCAGGATCCATCAGTTCCAAGTCAAGTTGTTGTCCTTCAATCTTAGTTGTGGAGGGTGCAAGCTCAGCTCCATGTCCAGTCCCACTTTCAGTCTAGTTGCAGGGGTCGTAGTGGGGCAGGGAAGGGGAGGTGCGCAGCCCACCATCCCATGAGGGAGTCAAACCTGCAACCTTGTTGTCAAGAGCTGCTGTGTGGGGGGCTTACCCCACTGAGTAGGATTCATCCCGGCGAGCTCTGGTGCCTGTTGAGACCGCCCTTTGTGTGTGCCACTTGTAGGGCTAATTGGGTGGTGCTCTTCTGTGGCCTGAAGCCAACCTCCAGGTGTGGTGGTTCTAGGGCCTCTTGTGAGGGGCTCCAGTGCAGGCCCAGGTCACCCACTGCCTATGATCGGCTGGGGACTACCTAGTAGGAGTTACAAAGCTATCCATGGTTGTTTGCTGCCTGTGCTAAAGTTGGAGGCACATGGGAGAGGACACGCTGAGAACCAAGGACAGTTGCCACCAGTACTGGGCCTGGGGTAGCTCCTCAAAAAGCCAGGACACCTCGAGGCCTGCTGGTTCCCTTAAAGTTTAGCCACTGATAGAGCCTTGTACGGTATGCAAGTTAAGTGAAGTAGGGTCTCAGAGTCACTAGAGTGGGAAGAGTGGTGGTCACCAGGCTAATGTAAATTCTGGTTTGGTGCCACTTCTGAGCTTGTAACTACTCAGCAAAAGTCTCAGGGCACACTGAGGCCAGTTGCCGCCCTCCTGGGGCCTGCCAGACTCTGATAGTTTTCCAAGAAAGAGTGCAATGCGGGCAGAGAAAGTGCCTCAAGTGTTGGAGAAGTTAGGTGGGGTGGGGTCCCAGTGGAGCTCCCCAGACCAATGACATTCAGATTTGGTTGCGTGGGGGAGGGCCCAACACAGGAAAGATGGCATCTATACCCCTCAGCCTCATGGGAGGACGACCCCTCACAGGAAAAATGGTGACTCCTTCAGCCCTCTCCTCGAAGCCATACACCTCAGTCTGCCCCCTCCCTGTATGCCTCCAACACCTCGAGTCACCATCCCTCCACCGGAGCCCAGGGGGATGCCTACGAGCGAGTCTGTGCATGGGCCATTTAAGAGGATGTCTGGGTTTCCCTCAGCCTTCCGTCCACCCTGGATGTTTGAAATACCCACTGTTTTTCACAGCCAGATGTTGTGGGGGCTCTTCTTTCCAGAACCAGCACTCCCGGCTGGGGAGCCTGGTATGCAGCTGGGGTCCCTCGCTCCTTTGTGGGGAACCTTCGTGGCTGAAATATCCCTCCTGATTCTCAACTGCCACACGGAGTTTTTGGGCCCATTGACGTATCTGCCTCTTCTCCCAGTCTCTATGTGGCTGCCTCTTTATACTTTTAGTTATAGGACTTCTGTTCGGCTAGACTTCAGGTGATTCTCCAGGTTGATTGCTCTGTAATTTAGTTGTAATTTTAATGTGTTCACAGAAGGACACAGGCACAGTGTTTATCTACTCCATCATCTTCAGCTTATAGATTTCTTAATACTTACTCTGCCTGGCCTTGGAGTCTCATTTTGTATATGCACAACTTAGAATTCAGCCAAAGACTCAAGGGAAGCCCTGTGTAGATTATTGAAGCTTCTCTGTGTAGCTCCCTCCTCTCTGGTACTCTGAATCCACGAAATCCAGCAAACTCACCTCCCTGAACCCTGATCTGTGCTCAACAGGGCTGCCGTGTTCTTGGGTTCCCTTCCCTGCACTATGGTCCAGAAAGTACAGAAAGCCACGACCATTGTAGGGCTCACCTCATTTGTCTCCCTTCAGGGATCTCAGTCTTGCTCACTTGTTGTCCAGTATTTGAAAACAGTTTATCTATTTTTTGTCCAGTTTTTTAGTTATGGTTGGAAGAGCTTGTCTGTTATTATTTATTTCAGCCTGAGTCGAGAAGCAGGTCAGGCAACCAGTTTTAACTACTGTTGATTTTTCTGATGTTTACCTTTAAATGATGGCTTTTAAAAACCTGGTTGATAGTTCTTCTGCTTTTCTTTAGAAATTATTTTTATAATTGTTAATAGAGTAAAGATTTAAAATTTAAAAGGTACAAAAGAGGATGCAGTGCAAAGTCTGCCTCGCACATGTGTCCCCCACTCACCCAGTTCCTCTCACAAGAGGCAACCATTATTATATAAACATCTTCTCTTTAAGCCTGAATAATATTCTGTTTTAAGGATTTGTCGTATTTACTTATTTATCTAATTTCCTATTAATGGGCACTTTAATATATATAGGGAATTTAATAATGTAATAATAATAGCGAAATTATTGTGCTGTTGAGTACCGTATGTGATGCCATTATTTTAGATGTAGTGTTTCCTTGTTGGTAAGTATGTATCTTTTATATTTTTATAATTTGTAGAGTAATAAAACTAGATTTTCAAATGATAAGCTCCAAAAAGACTCTTTTAACAATGTTACCTGTAGTTTATTCCAAATGCTAAACTGTACAAATATGTCAAATTTTAATCCTGAGTTGAGGGCATATCTTATAAGAATCTGTTTTTACTCTTTTAGGCCATAATGCAACAGGGAGACACATCTATAAAACCCATCCTCCAAGTCATTGTAAGTACCTATATGTATTTTATGTCAAGCAGTTTTCAAATTTATGTGTAATGATAAAGTACATGTGATGAAGGACATAAATATTTGTTCACTTTAGGGAAATTCTCTCCATCATCACACACAAAAAATAGGCCAGTCCATGTTGTAACCCTGAGAAAGGAACTGGGCTTTTTAAAAAATAGATCAGGTTAGCCAGAGGTAGGCCTTTGGAGGTTCAGATTTGAGGCTTTGCCTCTGTTTGTTCCGCAGTTAATGGATGCTGTAGTGCTACACATCATTTCTACAGCCTCCTTACTTGTCTTCCTGCCCTGAGGTTTATCTTGCTCAAATCTGCCTTATGGATGGCCTCTAGAGAGATCTACCTAAAATGAACTAGTCTGCTTAAAATTCTTCATTAACTGTATCATTCAAGAGGTTCTCAAATTTAGGTGGGAATTTAAAATATCAACAAAAGCAGAATCATGGATCATACCTGCAGATTCTGAGTCCGTAGGCCTGATGGTCTCCCTGTTACTGTCAAAATAGCTGCCAGTCATCTTAAGGCTTATTTCATCTCAAGGCCTTGTTTACATATTTCGCTTAATGCTGCCTCTGATTTCCTTCAGGTTGGGATAAATGTCTCAGCTCTGCCTCCATGTCATTCATTATATGCACACTTCTCTTCTGTCTCTCTGCCTCCATCTCTACCCTAATTGTAAGCCCCTTCAGGGCAAGGACTTTTTTTTTTCATTTTGTATTCTCAGCATGTTTCCTACAATGGTACCTTGCATATATTAGGTACCTTGTTATATATATTTTTTTAGAATTGATTTTCAACCAAATTCAAGTTAGGGGAGAGAGAACACAAGAGTATTGGCAACTCATTTTATTCTCTTTTATATGTGTTTCTTAATGTTAGTGGAGAGAGGTTGGTAGAAGAATCGTCAAATCTAATTTTCTTTTACTTGGATTTTGGAGGTGTCAAGAGAATGGGCAAGCAGTTCGGTTTGTGTTGAGCTAATGGCAAGCCCACTCTCCTGCCACTTAGGGTGTCTCATCCTTGGGGATTGGGCAGACAATCTGGCTAATGAATCAAGTTTTCTGTTCTAGAACATCCGTCCCATTACTACAGGGAATAGTCCACCCCGTTATCGACTGCTTATGAGTGATGGGTTGAACACTCTATCCTGTAAGTATGATGTATAAACCTGGGAATTTGTATTTAAATAATAAAAGCACACCCAACACTTGTGTTGCAATAATTTGGGGCATTCCAGAAGTCTGCATTTGCTTGACTATGCAGTTCACTCAGACAGGATTGCAGCTGGCAGAGAGCATCCCAACAATACACTGGATCTAGTGGAAGGCTGCCACTTGGCTTAATTAATTTTCTCTAACTGGTGCTTTGTGTTTTTCTTGATTAATTTCCCTTAGGATGATATTGACATTTAGTGAATATGATGGGTTAGCTGTCTTATACTTGCCTTTATGGGGTTTTATTTCTGTGTTGGAAGCTTTACAGGGGAGAAAGGAGAGAATTTGCAGAATATATGCTTGCTATCTCTAGTCACGATGTGAAGGACCTAGAAAAGAATTTTTAGTCTTTGTCATGAAACGGAAAAAATGATTTTGGACACTTTAAGAAATACATAGGTTTCAGAGTAGCAGCAGATGTTTAATTAACGCACAGCAAATTTTTCACTATGCAGAGTCTGACTAGTTTTAATTTCAGGAATATATTTAAGGCATTATTTGTCTTTGCTAGTACAGGTGTGATCAACTGTTAGATTGTCATGACTGAAATATTTTGGAGACTAAAATAATCTCTGCTTTTCAGCTTTCATGTTGGCAACACAGTTAAACGCTCTCGTTGAAAGCGAACAATTGTCTAGCAACTGTATTTGCCAGATTAACCGATTTATTGTTAACACGCTGAAAGATGGAAGGTATGTGGTGTGGTTTTTTTTGTTGTTTGTTTTATTGTGTTGTAAGTGGGGACTGATTTTTGAATAGTTCTTTGGAAGCCAGAATTCAATTAGGAATCCAAAAGGCAACGGTGAACTTTCAGCTTAGAATTTATAGCTATTGAATTCTGAACTCAGGTGGCTAAAATATGGCACCAAAGGGAGAGAAATATGGAAACAAATTGGAAATTTCAGAGCAGGGAATTAAAGCAGAATGCAGAACTCTTCTTATTTCTAATCTCTTTAGAAACACTGTTTTTATGATTTTCTCTCAAAGTATCTTAATAAACAGGGGTTACTTATTAGAGCAAAAAATGTATAATTAATGCTGTAATGCTGCCCCTTTTTTGCATTTTTGAATCTTTCATAGTAAATACTTTATCCAGCCAGTATAGAGAATGTTGAGTAACTACAGATGTTATATGCTAGAGATACAACGGTGAACAGAACTGTTATTCACTCATGGGTAACACTGCTAAAATATGGGGTTTTTTGTTGGGGAGTTACTTTATATTCCATGTTTTTCACAAGATTTTAATTTTCAATTACAAAACACATGAGGAGCAAATATGGCAAGAATTCCCATCTTAATAAGGATGTATCAATATATATTACATCATTGTCTGTACATTTCCAAATAACTTTTTTGATTTCTATTTGTTTGCTATGTCTTTATTCTTCTAACTTTCAACCTTTGTGTTATTAATTTTAGATGCCTTTCATAAACAGTATGTTTTAAAATTCAATTTGATATTTAATTAGTGAGTTTATTCTGCCTAATTATTGATTCCCCCCCTTCCCCCTCCCAAATTTTGTGTTTTACTGTGTTCCTGCTTTACTTTTTTCTCTTTTCCTGCCTTGGATTGATTGAGTTTCTTAATTCTCTTTTTTCCCTCTACTGGTTTGTAAGTTATACATTCTATTTATGTTTTCTTTATGGTTACTCTTACACATTAAAAAAAAATCCATATTTGAGTTAGCAAGTATGCTAAAATGGGTTAATATTTTTATCATTTTCCCAAATAAAACAAAGGTCTTAAAATTATCTGTGTTCAGTGTTTTGGCTCAACTTTGTTTTTAGTCCCTCTACTTAGTATATTCTCTTACATAGTCAGTGCTTATTTAGATTTACCCATAGGTTATTAGCTCACCTTTGCCTCATTGATCACACTCCTTCTTTTATAGTTCAGCTTCCATTTTCCAGAACATATTTTAGCAGCTTGTGTAGGGAGAGTTTGCAAATGGTAAAAATCTGTCATCCAAAAATGTCTATATTTGACTGTCAGTTAAAGTAGTTTAACTGGGTATAGAATTTTTGGTTAACATTTATTTCTCTATATCATGTAGTGGTCTCTTCACCCTGATAGAATTTTGTGTCCTTGTTGCTATGTTTTGTAAAACAACTTTTATTATACAAATAATATATGCATAAGTTATAAAACTCACATAAACAGAAAGAGAAATAACTAATCCCGCCCGCTACGTAGAAATAATTATTATTAACATTTTGTTATGTATCCTTCCAGATTTTTTCTATGAATATAAACACTTACGAATATATATTTCCTTTTGAAAAACTTCATAATATATATGGTTTTATAATACCCTCTTTTAACTTTATAATGATCATTTTTACATGTCACTAGGTATACCTCTGTCACATATTACTTAGTATGCCATTATATGAATTTACCATAATTTAGTTAACATTTAAATTATATATATACAGCATTTCACTATTGAAAAATTTTTACCAGTGTTTCTTTGAATATATCTGTATATATTCATATATATATTTATATATATTGTAGGTGTGTTCAATTCTTTTTAGAAAATATGATTATTTTAATAAAATTGATACATAGCATAATGTATTCAAGCAATACAGAAAAGGGTACAAAGAAGGAAAAAATTATCCAAAATTTATACAACCCAGAAATAACCATGTTATCATTTAGTGAGCATTATTCCAGATATCTCTCAGTGCATATTTATCAATGATTGGTGGATAGGTAGAAATAATTTTGAGAGTAAAACGATAATGTAAATACAGTCATACACCGCGTTTCAGTCAATAGTGGAGCACATATATTGGGTTGTCAGAAAAGTCATGACTTATTTTTTCTATGTTTTTCGTTGGGAAAATGTGACATGACTTTTCCAACAACTCAATACAACAGTGGTCCCATAAGATTATAATAGAGCTGAAAAATTCCTATCTATCGCCTAGTGACATCGTAGCCATTGTAATGTCATAGCGTAATGCATTACTTCTTGACCAAGTTATAAAAATATCTTTTAGTTTCCTCAGACACTTCTCTGGGTTTATTTATTTATTTATTTATTTATTTTTTAAAGTTTTTTTTTTAATTTTATTGGGAAATTGGGGGAATGGGAACAGAGCTGGGGAATTGGGGGAAGGGGAACAGACAAGTTGCTGTCGTTTTGTTCTTCAGTCTAGTTGTGGAGGACGTTGCTTCACTGGCCCAAGTTGGCACCATCATTGCGCTCTTCCCAGGCGAGGCAGATCAGTCACCAGCTTCTGGATGGCCACTCACTGCGGCTGCTGGCTTCTCATGCTGGCTGCTGTTTACACATGGTAGCCCATGGCAACCCACTGCAGCAGGGGCTACAGCCTACGCCGTTGCTGGTGACTCACGGCAGCCCAGCTCCAGGTTGAGCTGTTGTTCAGCATCTTAGCTGCAGAGGGCAGTGTCACTGGCCCTCATATGTGGGATCCGAACCGGGGCCTTCTGGCATCCCAAGCCAGTTCTTAACCATCGCGCCACTCGGCCGGCCCTTCTCTGGGTTTTTAAAGTACACTTTAGTTCATCTGAGACTTATTATGATGGAGAAATTTAGCTTAATGTTTTCCAAACGGATAGCTCATATCAAAGGGGCTATAGGCCCCAGTAAAGAGTTTAGGGTTTATTCTGAGTGTGATGGGAAGCCATGGGGTTTTGAGCAGGGGAGTAGTGATATGATCTAAGTTTTAAGAAGTTTCCAAAAGATTATTCTGATAGCTATGTGGAGAATTGACGGTTGGTGGCAAAACTAGATACAGAGAGACTGGTATTCCATTTATCTAATTTATTCTGAGTTTGCCATCTTTTCTATTGATTAGTTTGTCTGTGCTTGTGTCAGTGCCATAGAGTTTTTTTTGTCCCTTTTCCCTCTTTTCTTTGGTAACAGCTTTATTGAGATATAATTCACATACCATACAATTCATCTATTTAAATTGTAAAATGTTTTTTTGTATATTCAGTTGTGCAGCCATTACCACAACTAATTTTAGACTACTTTATCACCCCCTAAATAAATCCTGAACCCTTTAGCTGTCATCCCCAAATTCCCATCCTCCCCAGGCCTCGACAACCACTAATCTACTTTCTATCTCTATAGATTTGTTTATTTTGGGCATTCACATAAATGAAATCATATAATATGTGGTCCCTTGTGACTGACCTCTGCTCACTTAGCATAATGTTTTTTAGGTTCATCCATGTTGTAGCGTGTGTCAGTATTTCATTCCTTTTTATGGCCAAATAAAAATCCATTGTGTGGGGCCTGCCGAGTGGCTCAGCAAGAGTTTGAGCTCTGAGCAACAGCAGTTCGAGTCCCAGCCCGAGCTGAGCAGCCGCTGTGCTGCCAACAGGTGGCAGGATGGCTCGGCTAAAAAAAAAAAAAAAAAATTTAATAATCCATTGTGTGGATATATCACATTTTGTTTATCCCTGTATTTAGACATTGGATTGTTACCACCTTTTTGCTGTCAGGACTAATGTTATAGACATTTGCATACAAGTTTTTGTGTGGACATGTTCTCATTTTCTTTTATATGTATGTTGCAGTAGAATTGTGTGTCAAATGGTAACTTTATGATTAAATTTTTGAGGAACTACCAGACTGTTTTCCAAAGTAGCTACACCAGTTTACATTCCCACTAGCAATCCTATGAGGGTTTTAGGTTGTCCATATCCTCACCAACTCAGATAATTTCATCTGCCATAGTGTTGGCAATTAAACTATCATCGGTAGAATATTTAGTAACTTATAGGTGATGTCTTCCTTTACTTCCCCCCTCACCCAAATTTTCTTGGCAGTTCTATGTTTATTATCATATGAATTCTGGAGTTATATAGTGAAGTTCAAAAAAGACAAAAGTTTTGTTGGAATGCAAAGAATTGATTACATTTATATAGTATTTGATAGTAAGTCTTTTCACTCAAGAATATGGTATGTGAATACCTGTATGTTCCCTCATCCAGCTTCAAATTATCACCTGATATCCTGTTTTATCTATATCCATTCCACATTTATCCTCTTTTATAATCTTGAAGCAAATTTCAGACATCATATTATTTCATCCATAAATATCTTAGCATATGCCTTTGAAAGATAAGAACTCGTTTAAAAATCCCATTTTACACCTAAAATATAAAATATGCTGTCAGTGTTCAGTTCCCATCTATTTGTGTGTGTGTGTGTGTGTGTGTGTGTGTGTGTGTGTGTAAATTATCTGAATCAGGATCCAAATTAAAATTCACACTAACATACGTTGATAGTTTTTTTTTAGTCTCTGTAAATCTGTAGGTTCCTCCTTCATAACTTTTTCCCTCTCGTTTATTTGTTGAAGATAAACCAGGCCATTTGTTCTTTATCCTCATGCAGTTTCTCATTGTCTGGACATTGCTGATTATATCATTATAAAGTTGTAATGTGTCCTTGTCACTTGTGTTTTCTGTAGATTGGGATTGATGTATCCTTTTGTTATGCTGCTGGATTCTTCTTGCTAATATTTAGGATGTATGTATATTACAAGAGAAAACTAGTTTTGTTTTTTTTAGTGTGTTTTTTCTTAGGTTTTGGTATTAGGATAATGCTAAATGATAAGCCTTCCATTTTCCTATGTTCTGGAGTAATTTTGGAAGGTAGCTAAATATCCACTTCTAAATATTTATTGAATAGTTCTTATAGGGAATCTGTATCTAATTTTTAGGAACAGATAGTTTCAGTCTTATTTTATTGAAATAATATAACCTTGATATGAAAACCTGATAAAAGTAGCATAAACTGGGGCCAGCCGAGTGGCTCAGTTGGTTAAGAGCTCGCTCAAGAGTTTGAGCTCTGAGCAACAGTGGTTCGATGCCCGGGCCGAGCTGAGTTGCTGCTGAACTGCCAACAGATGGCAGGATGGCTCAACTAAAAAAAAAAAAAAAGTAGTATAAACTGATCAATTGTATGTAAAAATCCAAAATACAGCCATCAGATCATTTAAAGAATACAACATGATGAAGTTGGGTTATTATTCCCTAAATATTGTTCCAACCTATCCACTTTCTTTTTTTTTTTAATCTCTATTGCCACTCCCCCAATTAAGGCCACCATCAATTCTTTCCTGTTGGGCTCCCTGTCTCCAGTTGTGTTCCCCTAAAATTTTTTCTTCGTGTCGTAGTTTTCTTTAAAATACAAACATGGTCATGACATTCTTAGTCAAGTTTGTATTGAGCAACACTGGACCAGTTGTTGCATTAAGCACTGGAGGATACCTGCCCTCATTGAAAGTGTAGTCTAGTAAGAAAAGTATATAAATAATGAGTATACAATTAAAACACAAATGAATATATAAATAATGAACATATAAATTATATATTAATTAAACCTTAGAGAAGTGATCTGAAGGAAAGAAGTCGTGGCTATAGGAAAGAATATAACAGAAACCTGATCGAACTAAAGATTAAGGAAGTGTCTCTTGAAGAAGTGATGTTTGAGATGAGAGCCAAAACATGAGTATTCGATGAGGCAGAATGAGAGGAGGCCATCCCGGTCAGAAAGAGGCCTATGCAAAGACCTTGTGGCAGAAGAGAATATAACATACCCCAGTAGATGAAAGAAAACAGGATGGCTAGAGTGCAGCTCTGGTGTGAGATGAGCAAGGCCAAACCATACAGAGTCTTGTGGGCCAAGTGGAAGGTTTTGGCCTATGGTCCTTGGGCAGTTACTCTGAGGTTTCAATTAGAATTTAAAATAGGTCAAAGAACTAAGTTATTAAATAATTATTACATTAAAAAATATATCTACAGTCATGGAGGAGGGGCGTTATCACTTTGTGAGGGGTGTAAGTGTCTAGTATGTTGCTTTGTACACCTGAAACTGATAAAAAAAATATATATATATATCTATATATCTATATATATATATCTACAGTCATACTGGTTTTCACCAGGAAAAGGTAATTGTTTAGATAAGTGTTATGTTTCTGAAAACAAATCACCTCTTGTTGTGCCACATATTCTTGTATCTAATAATCTAAATTCTTATGTCATTTGTTCCTTGAAGATATGGTATGTAGTAAGGACACTGCATTTTAATTAAGGGACTAGATGGGAAATGAAAACCCTATGATCGTAAAAAGCCTTGATAATGATGCAGTGAAAGATTAAGAGAAATATTTATGTAGGAATTGCTATCATATATTTCTCAAGTTATTCAGTAATGAAAACCAGCTGACAAAAGGAAATCATTTTATCAAAATGATTATTGGGGGAAAGCTTTTTATGTAGCTTGTCATTTACAGGGCTCTGAATTTATTTTTTCTAACTTGTTTCTATTTCTTTGTCTTTGTAGGAGAGTAGTTATTTTGATGGAGTTAGAAGTTTTGAAATCAGCTGAATCAGTTGGATTAAAAATTGGCAATCCAGTGGCCTATAATGAAGGTAAGATGCTTTTTATAGGTTTATAGCACTCAATTGAATACCTCTTTATAGATCTGGAATTCTACCTTTTGGGTTCAGTTTGAGTTGTTAGTTTTAATAAAACTAGTGATTTGGGGGTCTAGGAACCAGGTTCTTTCAATTTTTTTCATTACTGAAGAAATGATGGTAAGAGCCCATAAAAGAAAAACTTCTGTTTTTCTCTTTACTCAACATTCACGCTTCTGGCACTTCTGTAACTAGAGGAGTGGGTTGTTTTCCTCATGCTAAGCAAGTCTCGAATTCTCTGTGGATGCCCAGCGGAGAGTCCTACAGTTCAGTTCAGTTCAGTTCTGATATCACCTGCCTGGAGTTAGCATCAGATCCCACAGGGAAAGGCCTCAGGCCTGCAGGACTGCCTCCCCCCAGAACAGTTACAGCAGACAGATTCTGCCAGTGCATTTGTAGTCTAGGTTGGGGCTGGGAGATAAGAGTCCTGGTGCTTCCAATTCTGCCATTTCCCCAGAATCCTCTCCACAGTGATTGTCTTTTTTTTTTTTTTAGCTGAGCCATCCTGCTACCTTTTGGCAGCTCAGCGGCTGCTCAGCTCGGGCTGGACTCGAACCAGTGATTGTCTCTTGATAATGATTTTGATTTTCTTGTGAACGTCTGTAGAAAAGCATAATGAAATTAGAAAAGTTCCATTAATTTAAACAAGATGGACAATAATAGTTTTAGAAAAAGCCAAAGAATCTTTAATCACTGACCCCATAAAAGGAGAAGGCTTATCTGCCCCTCCGCCGAATCGAATAAAAATAAAATTAGAGCCTCACTGTCACCAAAATAAATTCCAGGTCTGTTTAAAAAGTTAGAAAATGAAACCATCAAAAAAAATTTTTTAAAAGAGGATGGGGCTACATAAATGAATTGGAGTAATTCACAATGAATATTTGATTACATTGAAATAAAATGTTATATGTTAAAAATAGAAAGTATGTAAACTTAATCTAGGATAAAATAGTTACAAAAGATAGGACTGATAAAGGGTTAATACAGTCATACCTCAGAGTTATTTCAGGTACGGTTCCAGACCACCACGAGAAAGTGAATTTTTTGTTTTCCAGTGCATATAAAAGTTATGTTTACTCTCTACTGTATTCTGATAAGTGTGCAATACATTGTGTCTAAAAAATGTACAAACCTTAGTTAAAAAATACTTTGTTGCTAAAAAAAAGTTAACCTTCATCTGAGCCCTCAGCAAGTTATAATCTTTTTGCTGGTGGAGGGTCTTGCCTTGATACTCATGAAAACGCTGTTATCTGCAAAGTGCAATAAAATGAGGTATGCCTGTTTCGTTAGTATTTACTGAATTTTTTTACAAGAAAAAATTATTAAATGCATTGTTTATATTAGCTATTTTAATTATATATGTGACATTTAAAAGTTTTTAAAAGACTTTCAGGTCAGTGTAAAGATGCTGAAAATTTTATATGTGACTTAACTTATTTGAAGTCTTCCACTGTGCATTTTCTCCTCTTTCCCATATTTCTCAATAGGAAATTAAGTACATTTGTTTTTTTAAACTCGGAGACAATTGCATTCTCTCTGTTGCTCCTAATAGAAAAAGGTGGTTTCCACTGAAGTACACTAATTCACAGTCTTACTTTAAATTTATTGAATGTAGTTCTTCAGTTTATCCTTAAGTATTGGTGTTAGTTGGGCTTTTGCTTAAGGATAAATAGAGTTGATCCCAATAATTCTTGTGCTGGAGGTAAACGGCATCCTGTCTTCCTATCTGGAGATCAGTTCTAGCCTTCAACTAAGTGGAGTAGTAGAAAGAAAGGAAAGGAGAGTTTGAGAAGCTCAAGCCTGAACCCTAGGAGACCATTCAACACAATAACATAATGTTAGAGATAGAAGGAACTTTTATTTTATTATTATTTTTTTATTCAGTTTTTAAAAAGCTACTTTTAAACTGTTCTCTCTTTTAGTTGCCAATTAGAAGGAACTATTTTTAGAGATCAGTAGTTTTAATCATAAGAAATAAATGAAGGCAAATGAAGTGAAGTGACTTGCCTAGGGTCATACAGCAGATGAGTTGCTTCAAGAAATGAGACTCATTATTTCTGATTTCCAGTCATTATCCTTCTTTCCACTGGACCCAGGCAGTTAGAGATTAGCCTTCATATCAAAGTTCTTGCCTATTACGAAAATTGTATTTAAGTTAATAGATTGTGTGAGTGATCTGTTACGGGAATGTTATGTATTTACAGTCACGTGCCACTTAACGACAGGGATACATTCTGAGAAATGTGTTGTTAGGCGATTTTGTCATTGTGTGAACATCATAGAGGGCACTTAGAAACCTAGATAGTACCGCCTACTACATACCTAGGCTGTATGGTATAGCCTATTGCTCCTAGGCTACACGGCTATATAGCATGTCAGTGTACGAAACAACAGGAGATTAAATCAAGCTCAAGGGAAAATGAAAGAATCAAGAGATGAAGTAAACAAGATATATGGCTGCTGCCGGTATAACACGGCATACTATTTTACAGAAAAATTTTTTATAAGTAGAAAGAATATACTCAAAAATAACGATAAAAAGTATATTATAGTAAATACATAAACCAGTAACATAGTTGTTTATTATCATTATCAAGTATTATGTACATAATTGTATGTGCTATACTTTTATACGACTGACAACACAGTAGGTTTGTTTATACCAGCATCACCACCACACACTACGTAATGCGGTTCACTGTGACATTATGACGTCACTAGGCAACAGGCATTTTTTTCAGCTCCAGTATAATCTATGGGACCATTGCTGTATATGCAGACACTGAGCAAGACGTTGTGCAGCACAGGACTGTAATTGGAAGTCATCTGTTTCATAGTGTATTTGTCCATTAACACTTGTATAACTTTTAAAAACTGAAATATAATTAAGATAATCAGACACTTTTTAAAATAAGCATTAATTATTGATTAGATAATATAGTTACATATTTCAAAAGTCAAAACTTTTATAAAATTATATAAAATTATATATTTAGAGAAATCCTGCTCCTACCCCTGCCTCCTCCCACGCTGTTCCTACTCACTGCCGCTCCCTTTGCGTAACCAACTTTGGTCATTTCTTTTTATCCTTGTTTCTATATGCAAATATAATCAAGTCCGGATAGTCTATATTCTCATTCCATACTTCACTTTGCTTACTGTGTACAAAAAGCATACTATGTACACTATCTTGCCTCTTTTTTTTTTTTAAATTTTATTGGGGAATTGGGGGAGGGGAACAGACAAGTTGCTGTCCTTTTGTTCTTTAGTCTAGTTGTGGAGGACATCGCTTCACTGGCCCATGTTGGTATTATCATTGCGCTCTTCCTGGCTGAGGCAGTCGCTTGCCGGCCATTGGACGGCTGCTCACAGCGGCTCACGTTAGTTCACGCTAGCTGCCAGGCACTCATGGTAGCTCACGGGAGCCCACTGCAGCCTACGCTGTCACCGGCGACTCATGGCAGCCCAGCTCCAGGTTGAGCTGTTGTTCACCAGCTTAACTGTAGAGGGCACAGTGTCACTGGCCCTCGTGTGGGATCCGAACCCTGGCCCTGCTGCTCAGAGCTGGCATCCCAAGCCAATTCCTAACCAACACGCTACTCGGCCGACCCTATCTTGTCTCTTTTGTATTGAGCTTTTAAAAAAATTCTCAGCCTAGAGATATTCCCTGTATAAAAAGAGAGATCATCCTCCTTTTTTTTTTTTTAATGGTTATAGAGTGTTCTGTTATGTGACTGCTCCGTAATATAACCTTTACTGATGGACACTTGGGTGATTTCCATGCTATTAAAACACTACTGCAACCAAACAACTTTATACACATACAGGGGTATGGGCAGAGGGGGTTTGATTCCCAGAAGTGAGATTGCTGGATCTGTGGATAAATGCATCTGTGGTGGGTAGGTATGGTTGAATTCCCCTCCATAGGATGGTATAATTTTGCATTCCCATGAGCAAGGCCTGGTTTCTTCACAGCTGTGTGAACCTATATGAACATTAACAACATATTCCGAGTATGTTAATGTTCTGAATTTTTACCAACCTGATAGATGAAAAGTGGCATCTCCAGGCAGTTTTAAATTATATTCTGAGCGAGGTGAGCATCCCTTTAAATGTGTAAGGGCCTTTTCTCTGTGAGCTGTTGTGTTGTCCATTTGTCTTTTGGTTTGTCTGTCTTTTCTCAATTTCTAAGAGTTCTTTAAAAAGTGTTGGTGGGGGGGGGGAGGGTTAATCCTTTTTCTCTGATATGACTTAACAAAGTCTTTTTGACTTTGTGGTGTTTTTGCTATACAGCAGTGTTTTGGTTTTTATGAAGTTGAATTTTCCAATTATTTTTTTATGACTTCGGGGTTTTGAGCCATAGTTAGTTTAGAAAGGTCTTCCTCATTCTGAAGTTATTAAGGCATTCACCCATGTTTTATTCTAGTATTTGTGTGATTTTATTTTTCACATTTAAATCATCCAGGCTGCTTTGATCTTACTGTTGTACTTTGGGGCTTCAGTTTCACATAATTTGGAACTCGTGGGTTTTCCCTGTCCCCTAGTTTCACTAAACATGTAGTCTATATGCGGAATGTTTGTGTGTGCTGTGGATATTCTCTTTGTTGCTCTGCATAATTTTTAGGAGACTTGGGAAGATTTGGGACTAGGTTATCACCGTGCTTGTTCCAGAAATTAGAACCTTTTAGATTTTAATTTGTACCTACACAAAATAGTAGTAATTTGGTGCTTTAAATTAGAGAGGGAAAGCTGGAGCTTAGGTAAAATTCTAAAATATGAAATTGAAACATCACATTTATTTTGCAGTAGTGAAGTTTTATTAAAATGAGCACATTAGTTTCCTTATTCTCAGCTTTTAGGCAGGAGAGCTGCGGCAAAGCAATGCTTTGCATCTATGGAAATCTTTTGATGCCATCAAGGTAAGGGAGAGATGATTGTGCCTGACTTTATCACCT